ACCTTTCTTCCTAATCTCCTTCCACTTCAGAATCAAATCTTAGTTTCCCACAAAGCTCAGCTCTGTTAGTGCTGCTACTGATATTTGCTTCCACTGCTTAAGGCTCTGTTGACCTTTCGATCTTCCCAGTTCTTACAATAAGTTCAAATCCCTAAACGCTAGAAGATCCGATCTTTGCCTGTCCTACCTCCTTCATCCCCTTGTATTCTAGACCTATTATTCTTCTGTTCCTTCAGTTTGCTACATCTTTCCTTAATTCTTTGTGGCCACTGTGATGGCTAAGGAAACTACATTCTGTACCAGGTACCTCCTTGGTACTCATTGGCCTCTACTCTAAATTTCTGAAACAAACTCCACCCTCCACAGAAAGGTGTAACTGCTGTGAGATGCTTAACAGCTTGCTTTGTCTTCTGTAAACCTGCTTATCACTGTTTTCAGAGGTATCTCCTTTATAGCTGTGAACAAGAGGAAAGAGACAGTGCCTCACATAGCTGAGGGAACTTAAGCACTTTCTTACACAGCTACAAGTTCCACAGAAGCAAGAACACTGTCACCTCCACCTTCAAAAATCCTTCCCTTAACCCCTTGTTGGTAGCATGCCTTTGATTTGGCTTTAAGGCTGTCACCCTACTTGCAGTTTTAATAAATCTGGCTATTTGCAATTTGAACTGAGTTTGTAGCCTCTCCTGGTGTCTCACACTCTGTAACTTGGGACTTGTCAACTCTTGTTCCACCCATTCTACTCACTCTTCAGAATGTGTCATTTCTTCAGAACTCCTTTCCAGATTTCCAGTCTTCTCTCTGAGGCACTTAGCACAACTAAAAGTCAGTGCTTGAGTGTCTGTCTATGCACTAAATGTCTTGTTTTCTAAGTTTGTATTTGTTGTTGGGGGCAGGGTGAAGGTCATGGCATGGTGTGTGAAGATCAGAGGACAGCTTTATGGAGTCTATGCTCTTCTATTTTTGTGGGTACCCGGGATTAAACTCAAGACACTAGGTTTGTGTGGCATCTGGCTGGCCCAAGTGTCTGATTTCCTGTCAGGTTGAGAATGTAAGGACTGAATCTGTTTCATTCAATCCTATTTCTTTAGTGTATCATACACAGTAGGTGCTCGGTAAATATTTGTTCGTTTCCCACATTTAACAAGTCAGTTGGTTTTGTAGATTCTGGCTTTATAATTTCTATTTTCCTTAATGAATTCCATGAGGGCAGTTCACTAAATATATCCACTTCACTCCCAGTTCAGATGGCTGCCACACTCATGCCCAATTATTTTAGGTGTGATTTCATATGAAGCTTACCAGCAATGGAAAGCCAGAGAGCTGAGGTGCTAAGTGAAGGAGCAATAGAAGGCACCATGTCCCACTGACCCTGATTTCTGGGTTCCTCTGGGAGGTGGAAGTGTGGCTTACCAACCTGCAATATTGTCATGTTTTCTCCCCAATAAACCCCATATGGGATGTAGTTCAATGACAAAGCCTAGCATTGGATGAGGCCCTGGCCTCTATCTTCAGGATAATAAGTAAATGTATACATTTAAAACTTGTATACGGGGTTGGGGACATGCCTCAGTGGGTAAGAACACTTCTTGCTCTTGCAGAAGACCAGGTTTCAGTTCCAAGCACCCACACAGCTTCTCGAAATCAGAATCTTTACCTCCAGTTCCAGGGGACCCAATGCCTCTTCTGGCTCTGTGGGCACCAGGCACACATGTACATATGTGCATGCAAAATATGCATACACATACAGCTTTTATATACAGTTCGTCAGGCCTGGTTCGTGAACGTGTAATCTTAATACATGAAGACTGAGCAAGGAAGACCTCAAGTTCCAGTTCCTTGGATAAGGGCTAAAGGTCATGTGATCTGTGGAAAGTTCTAAAAGGAAGTGTGGGGCTGTTAGAATAGGGGAGTTGAGCAAGGTGGTGCATGCTAGCCTATAAGCTAAGCACTGGGTAGTTGAGACAAGAGAATGAGATTCAGGCTAGCCTGGGCTATATAGCAAGACCCTGACAATAACAAAAGAAATAAAGGAAGCAAGCAAGCAGACAGAATAGGGTAGAGGCCATGGAGACAGACCCAGAAGTTCTGTTCAGTAGCTACAGATCTGACCTTTATCTGTAAACTAGGGGTTAAAGTGCTCACCTTGCAATGGTGTTAAGAGGGTTAGAAATATTTGCTAAATATTTCTGGCTGGGGGAATGCTTGATAAATTAGACTTTTTACAATTACTCTTTTTGTGTGTGATGATGGGGGTGGGTGTCAAATTCAGAGCTTCTACTTGCTAGGCAAGCATTCTACCACATTCCCAGACCTTATTTATTAGTTATTTGGCCAAGACAGGAATTTATTAAGTTATCCTGGTAGGCCTTTGACTTTTGACTCTCCTAGATAGTTGGGACTACAATCCTGTACTGCTAGGACTGGCTTGCCCTAGTCCTTTATACTTCCAGCTTGTGGACACAGCCACAAAGATGGTAAGCAGCTAAATGTTCAGACTGCTCCCATCACAAGAAAACCAGATCCCCCCCAACTCCCCAGAGGCTCAAAGAACAACTTCCAGAGTTGAACTTGGCCAATTAAAGCTTTCTGCCAACATCACTGAGTGAATCAGTAGCCCAGCACCAAGGGACAGTCAGCTTCCAACAAACATAAAGGTGGTGACGGCGGAAGGGCCAATGGCTCACATGGTGAAATGGCCCAAAGGCCATCAGGCCTTACAACAGGCTAGCACCTGCCATTTGCAGCTCTGGGTTTCACGACCCTCCGTTGTCCTTTGTGATAGTGCCACCTAGTGGGAACGACGAGGTACTGCCACAAACTTCAAGGCCCGCTCAGGATCAGTGCGAGGAGGTGGAAGGATGAATAGTTGGTAGGCAAGAGTGTCTTCCATCCAACCCCTAGGTTAGTACTCTGCACTCACAAGAAATGAAGTCCAGTGATTCTGTGGAGAAAGCCACACCATCTTTCTCCCTTCAGACGTAACTGACCAGCGACCATACTCGACCCTTTCAGTATCCTTGCACCGAGTCTTTGGGAACAGGTTAAAGAGGCCTCGCCGTCTTGTACGGAGGCATTGTTCTGATGGAGAAACTGAGGCTCCGTAGGAGTGTAGATAACCCAAGGTCACACACCGTAGAGGAACCGCGGGGAGACCCAAGTCAGTTTCTCCGACCGTAGTGAGAGGCGCCTTCCCTTCCGCACACCGGGCCCGCCGCCGCAGACGCAGAGGCAGGCGACCCGACCCGACGACCCCCATGAGGATACAGGACGGACACGTCCAGCCGCCACACGCCGGGGCGCGGGACTCAAGCAGGAAGCAAGAGTCCCGCGCGGGGAGGCCCTGGGAACACAGGCGCCTACCACGTGACAAGAGACGCCGGCCATGTGACAGGGAAGCGCTGGCAAAGGCCCCTGGTGCACAGTCACGCAAGACGCACGTACACGCACGGAAGCGCTTCGAGCGCCGAGGCGAGGGCCGAGGGTCACATGTGGAGGGTGACAGGCGCGGGCCGGGGGGCGGGAAAGACGCGCGGATCACGTGCCGGGGGCCGGAGCTCAGAGGTCACGTGAGGCCGGAGGCGGGGCCGCCGCGGAGGGGGAGGGGCGCGCGGCTTCCGGCGACCGTGGGGGGGGGGGGGCCGGCGAGCGGAGGGGGCCTGTCCCGGAGGTGGCGGCGGCGCCATCTTGGCGAAGGGGGGATCAGGAAGTGCGGACCGCGGCGGCGGCGGAGCCCGGAGCGGAGGCCGGAGGCTCCCGGCCCGCCGGCCCCGGAGCGGAGCGGAGCGGAGGATGCAGCAGCCGCAGCCGCAGGGGCAGCAGCAGCCGGGGCCGGGGCAGCAACTGGGGGTCCAGGGGGCGGCGCCGGGGGCCGGGGGCGGCCCGGGAGGGGGCCCGGGGCCAGGGCCCTGCCTGAGGCGGGAGCTGAAGCTGCTCGAGTCCATCTTCCACCGCGGCCACGAGCGCTTCCGCATTGCCAGCGCCTGCCTGGACGAGCTGAGCTGCGAGTTCCTGCTGGCCGGAGCCGGAGGGGCCGGGGCCGGGGCTGCGCCCGGACCCCATCTCCCCTCCCGGGGATCGGTGCCAGGGGACCCCGTTCGCATCCACTGCAACATCACGGTGAGGACCTCGCGTGCGCCACGCTGGGGGTCACTTGTCTGGTGCTCGAAATCACACCATACAACCTCCTGCTCTCAAAGGACCCGGAGGCCGGAGCCCCCTCTTGGTGCTTGGCTCCTTCTCTCCAGGTTACACTTGTTTCTTCAGCTTGAGGTTCTGTGGTGCAGTCACAGTCTCTACTGTTGACCCCTGAGAGCGAGGGACACTGGGACATGTGGCCCCTCAACCACCTCCTCCTATGAATCCACCCACACCTCAGGTTTAATGATTTTGGCTCCTTCCTCTTACTCCTCCACAACTTTACCATGTCACCTAGGAATGCCCATTTCTTCTTCCCACCCCAACTCTAATAAGATTCCAGGCCTCTGCTGGGAGGACCTAGCCTGGAACTCAGCCCAGTTCCATAGTGACCCTTCTCAGTAGTTCTTTACACTTAGATGTTACCACCTGTAGGTTGTCTGGTCAGGCATCCCTCGTACAACCCCCTCTTTGCTCCCTGTATTTCACCAAGTAATAGTGCCGTTCATTGACTCCACGTTGGATTTCTTCTCACTAACTCTGGTGTAACTAACCTTTAACTCCTCTTTTTGCCTTGGCTGGTAGCAATTTTGCCACTTCATTCCTGGGGTCGTGTCTGCTTATCCTAGCTGATTGTTCTGGCGGTGATAGCAGTGTGTGTGTGTGTGTGTGTGTGTGTGTGTGTGTTGAGCAGCAGCAGTGCCATTGCTCCCCAGCAGGCATCATTCCATCCTACTATACTAGATCAGGAAGCACCTGACATGTGTCCTGCCTTATTTTATCCCTTAGTGCCCCTTGAGGAAATTGTTGGGTGTAATTTTGTAACAGCTGTACTGCACGATACAGTGCTCGTGATGTTTGATAACACCCACTGTAATGGTCTTGTCTCTCCTGGAGCTAGCTAGAGAGCTAATGGGCAGGACCTTTATCCACACTGGAAATGGGAGTTGCCTGGGGGGAGACAGACTTGTGAATTTTGTGGTTCTTGGAGGCTTCCATTCATTTTTCATGGTGTTTTCTAGCCCTTTCTGCCACCAAACCAAGTCGTGGTTTGGTGAGGTAACTTTGGGAGTGGAGTAATAAGGAGATACTTGAGTTTTGATGGGGACTCATCTATCCAAGCTGAGCCTTACCTCACCAAGCTATGACCACCAGGAGTGGCTCAGTCACGTAAAGATTTTAGCATCTTTGGTACTGTTTTTCCTGCAGCACTGGTTAGAACTATGGCATCGCTAAGATCCCCAGTAGAAGTGGGTAAGGCTTCCTTGGCATGTGTTGAAACATCAAAGATTGGATTTTGCTAAGTGGATTCACTTACGGGTAGGTTTGCTTCCTCCAGCTGCTTCCTTTCCGTTGCCAGAGGCCGTCTACTGTCTTTGTCTTTGGGGTTCTCAGCAGCAGTGTCCATAGCCCCTCCAAAAGAGACTTGGCCTACACCGGGCCCCCTTGCCTTGGGCAGAGGAGGGGAGTCTGTTCAGGCTCCTGTGGCATGGTGGCTCAGGAATGTTGGGAATGCCAGTAGCGTAGGCTCTTTTCTCCCAGCCCATGCCTGGACTCGAGATGAGGGCAGGTTCCTGAGGGAGTGGTAGGGAGAATGGGTCCTAGAGGGGCTCTGGGGATGGGGGTGGATCTGCCAGATGCCCTTTTACTATTAGCTTTGGAAACTATTTTATTTTAGTTCCTCCTCCCCTGGTGGCTACAAGCCTGCGCTTTTCTCATCAGTGTGTCTGTTATGAGATGGTCTTCCCTCCCCTGATTCTGGAGTGTGGAAACACTGAAGGACTCTGGCCTGGGTGTGGGGAGAACTCAGATGTGGCAGGCAGTCAGGACAGTAGGGCCAGAGCTTCTTCCTCTACTGTCATCAGCTTTCCCTGGTTTTTACTCTGGGAGGAAAAGAGTCCACATGGTGCTTCTTGGGTATGGTCCTTCCAGGCTTTTTCTAGGGAAGCTGAGCTAGTAGTTGTGAGTGTAGGGCATGGTGGTGGGAAAGAAAGGAACCAGAGTCTTCAGAGAAGAAGGAAGGCTAGGCAAAAAATGGTTTCTCTTAAAGTTTCTCATTGTGACCACTCTCCCTGCTTTCCCCCTCAGGAATCATACCCTGCTGTGCCCCCCATCTGGTCGGTGGAGTCTGATGACCCTAACTTGGCTGCTGTCTTGGAGAGGCTGGTGGACATAAAGAAAGGGAATACTTTGGTGAGGGGGGCAGTGGGGAGGAGTGTGTGTGTTCCTGAAGAGGCTTCAGCGACCTAAGTACCCTGTGAGAGGCAGCTAGATCTGAAAAGTGGGTGGTGCCCCAGGTGGAGTATCTTAGACCTGACTTCTTAGGAGCACTGGTTACTGAAGCCAGAGGAGGCCGAGTCCTGTGACAGCTCTGGGATAAGTCCACTAGGGAGAGTCACTCCTGTAAACACAAGGTCCATCCAGTGCAGAGAACGAGCCACCATTTTGAGATCTAAGCTAAAAGCTCATCCATACAGCTATCCAGATTGTAGAAGGAAAGACATATTTGATGTCTCCCCACCCTAGCTCTTGCAGCATCTGAAGAGGATCATCTCTGACCTGTGTAAACTCTACAACCTCCCTCAGCATCCTGATGTGGAAATGCTGGATCAGCCCTTGCCAGCAGAGCAGGTATGCAACTGAGGGATGGGCTTTGGGTCTTGTGGCAGTCATCCCAAAGAGTGCTTAAGAAATACTTGATAATTGAAATGGACTGCAGTAGCTCCTTCCCACCCCCACTGCTCCCAAACACACATGTGATTCTCAGCCGCTTACTTCTCCAGATGGGAATCTAGCTAAATGGGGCACTACTCACTCCTTCTATCCTATCAGAACTCAGTCTCAGGGGCAGCATCCTGAGGGTTGAGATGAGTAGGGAATTTTTATTATTGTAGCAATAGCAGTTGATAGCTATTGGAAACTCGGGCCCTTAGTTTAGGAACAGAAATGCACTATCATTCTAGAGGAGATCAAATGAGAGGAGAGTTCTGAGGAAAGTTAACCTGGGCTCTGCAGAATAGATGACAAAACAGCTATTTTCTCTCTTTTTTTTTTTTTTTTTCTGGCATGTGGTAGGAAGAGAATAATTGGCTGGTATCAAAGTCATCCATCCCTTGGGCTCTTGCTTCCACTCAAATCTGGCTGGTGGAGAAACTGGCATCTTTATGGGCAGTGCCCACCTTCCAGACCTTCAAGGCTAGAGGGGTAGGTCAGATGCTGCATTCTAGCAACCCACTGGGTCTGATCTTCTTCTTTGCCTCCTTCTCCACTGCAGTGCACGCAGGAAGAAGTGTCTTCAGAAGATGAAGATGAAGAGATGCCTGAGGTAGGCTTACTACACAAGATGGTATTGGCAGGAAGTGTTTGTCATCAGTATGGGTCTTTGATATTAACAGTTCCAGCTTCAAACTGGGGAAAGAAGCAATATCAATAGGATAAAGACTGACTGGCCTGATGTAAAGGAAATCACTGTTTGTATCCATTCTTTGAAAACATTTAGCTGCCAATGTGCTAAAGCATGTAAATACTGGACAAACGTAATCTCAGATGGCTTCAGGAATCTTGACAGACCCTTGTCTGTGTCCTGGTGAGGGAGTTTTACTTACTCTCATTAGGCTACAGTTTTCTCATTTATAAAATAGGATTGTGGTGTATATCTCATGGTTGTTTCAGATAATAAATAGTGTATAGTGCACCTGACAGAATCTTTTAAAAATATAGATACTGTGTTTTCCTCATTTTTATATGTATGGATGTTTTTGCTGTGTGAATGTCTATGCACTACATATGTGCAGTTCCTGTAGAGGCCAGGAGAGGGCGTCAGATCCCCTGGGACTGGAGTTACAGGTGGTTGTGAGTCACTGTGTGGGTGCTGGGAACCAGTTTTCTAGAAGAGCAGCCTCTTAACTGCTGAGCCATTTCCCTAGTTCCTATTTATTTATTTTTGTGTAAGCCAGGCTAGCTTCACACTCAACTTGTGTAGTCGAGGATGGCTTGAATTGATCCTATTGCTTCTCTATCCTAAGTGCTAGGACTGCAGTCATGTACCACCCAAGCTATAGGTAGAATGTAAATCATAGTTAACTTAAGCTTCATAGCTAGATAGAACTTACCTCATTTCTGTGAAGTCTCCTTTGACTGGAGAATTAATCAAATTTATTAATGAAGTTAATGAAAATCAATTCACTAGACCTCAGCTTTTCCATGATAAGTGAAAACAATAGAAGAGTATTTTATAAAGGAATAAAGTAAGCTGTTGTATGTTGCCCCGAGTACAGGATGTCCTGTCATAAGGTGTCTTTGGTCATGTTGTTTCCTGTATTGGACCCAGATTCTGTAACTTTGTACTGATCTTCAGACCTGGTGTGGGCTGATGATCCCTGAAACCTAGTCCTTCCTGGAGGTGTTCAGCCCTCTGTGCCACGCCCACAGCACCTGACCGTGGGTCTGAGGTTGCCACAGTGGCCTCTGCTCACTGAGCTGCTTGTTCCCTCAGAGCAGGGGGATGAGGAGCTAATTATATTGTTAAGTTGTACTGTCTCCTGCTTTGGGCCACCTCATTTCCATCTTGGCAATGAGTACTTCTAGGGACCTAATTCCGGTCCTGCTCTTATAGGGAGAAAAAAAAAAGATTTATGGTCTAGTTTGCATTTTTCTCATTTTTTAAATGTGTGTAAGTCAGGACTTGGAGGAGTCAGTTCTAGCTACCATGTAGGTTTCAGGGATTGAACACAAGTTATCAGGCATCTCAGCAAGCACCTTTACTACTGAGCCACCGAGCTTGCTCTTAGTTTTCTCCTTTAGGCCTAGGTTCCTGAGGACTCCTGGATGAGAATCTAGCCTAGTAAAACAAGCTTTTACTTCTACTTCACCACTGCAAGCCAAAGTTATTCATCTAGAAATTGGGAAGTTTTCTGCTGCCAAAGAAATTTTAGGGACAGTTGGAGCAGGGTTTTCCTAGGGACAAGAAGACAGTTCCTTTCTCTGTCCTTTTTGTAGCTCTGCTGCTGTGGTTTAAGAATTTAGAAAGGAAAGAAAATACCAGACATGTTGACACAGGCCTTTAATGTAGTACTCAGGAGGCTGTAGCAGTATAATTGCTGCAAGTTTGAAGCTAGCCTGGTCTACATAGTGAGTTCCAGGACAGCAATGGCTACACAGCAAGACCCTAAAGCCAGGTACACACCTATATCCATAGCACTTGGCAGGTGGAGGGAGGAAGATCGGGATTATCCTTGCTGTATAACGAGTTGAAGACTAGTCTGGGCTGTATGAGACTTTGTTTCCAAAAATAAAAACTTGCCTTGGCCTTTAGACCACAGAGGAAATAGGGCCAAGCTGCTTTCTAGAACTGGGAAGTTACTGCTAAGACCACCTTGGGGGCTTGGGGCTTTGGGACAGGTGGTACTGAGAAAAAGATAGTCTATCCACTACCTTTGTGGTGTCATTCCTCTGCATTCCTACCTCAGGATACAGAAGACCTAGATCACTATGAAATGAAAGAGGAAGAGCCAGCTGAGGGCAAGAAGTCTGAAGATGATGGCATCGGAAAAGAAAACCTAGCCATCCTAGAGAAAATTAAAAAGAACCAGAGGCAAGATTACTTAAATGTACGTGCCTTGTAGAGAGGCAAGGCAGAGGGTTGGTGGGCACTGGCTGGGGAGTGGCAGGCCACTGCCCGTCAGTATGGAGAGCTGTCTCCTTTGTTGGATCTGTTCAGTTCTATCCCTAGTCCAGACCACCTTAAGGTCTACCCTCCAGACCAAGGAATAATGGTGTTTCCCTCCTTCCCAGGGTGCAGTGTCTGGCTCGGTGCAGGCCACTGACCGGCTGATGAAGGAGCTCAGGGATATATACCGATCACAGAGTTTCAAAGGCGGTGAGTTTGCACAGGGGCTGCATAGGAGTTCCTCAAAAAGGACTCAGTATGGGCCTGAAGATGGCTCAGTGGGTAAAAGCAACTTGCCACCAAGTTTCAGGACCTGAATTCAGTCTCCAGCCCACATGACAGAGTCTCTACTTCATTGGTGGCACATACATATGTAGTAAACATATTAATGTAATTATTTTTAAAAGGATACAGTATGCTGGTAAGGACTCCCTGAGAATTTCTAGATCATACAAATGCTTATAAACTTTTTAGACAAAGATTAGAACTCCTCAAGGCATAGGTTGGTGCATATCCAGGAACAAACCTGAACCCTTTGAAGGGTTTTGTTGTTGTTGTTGGTTTTGGGGTTTGGGTTTTTTGTTGTTGGTTTGCAAGATAGGCTCTCTCTGTGTAGCCCTGGCTGTCCTGGAACTCATGCTGTAGACCAGGCTGGCCTCGAACTCAGAGATCCATCTACCTCTGCCTTCTGAGTGCTGGGAATAAAGCTGCACCACCACCCAGCTCAAGCCTTTTTCTTAAGGGAGGTAAGGATCTACCCCTTGGTCCAGACCCATCTTACTGAGGCCAATGCCTCCTCTTCTTCCAGGAAACTATGCAGTCGAACTCGTGAATGACAGTCTCTATGACTGGAATGTCAAACTCCTCAAGTGAGTGGCAGCTCTGGGATGAGAAGGGTTGAGGGAGCCACATGAGTGGAGTGACTGGTGGAGCCCTAGGGCCAGCCTTTCAGTGTGTTGGTTGTGGGGTCCCAGGAGTAGGTGTGGGCAGTGGAACCCTCAGGAGGCTGCTTGGTTAGCACCCAGCAGGCTGAGCCCAGATTCATTGCTTTGTAGAGTTGACCAGGACAGCGCTTTGCACAATGATCTTCAGATCCTAAAGGAGAAGGAAGGAGCAGACTTCATCCTACTTAACTTCTCCTTTAAAGTAAGATGGCCTGTTCTCAGTGCTCTGTCCCGGAGCTTTCCCTGTCTGCCTCGAGTCTTGTGAGGATGCCGGCCTCCCTTCCCTAACTGTTACCTGCCTCTCTCTCTCAGGATAACTTCCCCTTTGACCCACCGTTCGTCAGGGTTGTGTCTCCAGTCCTCTCTGGAGGGTGAGTGCCTGGGCAAAGGGAATAGGCCGCTCTGGTGCAGCAGGTGTGGAAGGGACTGGACCTCTGGCCAGACACAGCTGACTAACCCTTCTTCTGCAGGTATGTTCTGGGTGGAGGTGCCATCTGCATGGAACTTCTCACCAAGCAGGTGAGCCTGTTTCACTCTTGGCCATTGGCCTGGGTGGGGCTGGCTGAGCTTTAACCCCCATTGGTTAATGGGGTGGGGGAGCAAACCATAGCCATAATATGGCCCTTTCATTGCACTAGGCATAACCTGTACCCAGCAACCTAGGCGGACAGGTGGTGACTGTACTGGGAGTAAAGGGACCCTTCTGTAAAGGCAGCCTCTTGCCTGGAAAGGTGCTGAAGGTGTCTCAGGAAGCTGTGTCCTGACTTCCTGCTTTGTCCCTGCCGTGCCCCAGGGCTGGAGCAGTGCCTACTCCATAGAGTCGGTGATCATGCAGATCAGTGCCACGCTGGTGAAGGGGAAGGCACGGGTGCAGTTTGGAGCCAACAAAGTAAGGGCCCTGGGGCTGTGGGGAGCCAAGTACAGTTTAGACTGCCAACCAGCTAAAGCTGCCTTTTAGGGTCAGAGAGGATAAGGTCCCTGCAATGGAGGGGGAGGGCATTGGTCCCAGGGGCATCCTCAGATGCTGGGGTGACACAGGTCTGGAAAGGGATGTCATGTGTGGTGTGTCCTTAAGGTCTTCCCAGGCAGAGATGGTGGCTGTAGAAGCTGGGACGCGTGGGTCCCTGGGGACAGCTTGCAGGTGAGGTTGCAGTAGGTTGTAGCTGGCCATTACCTGACCTGGTGGTTCTCTCTCCCCAGTCTCAGTATAGTCTGACGAGAGCACAGCAGTCCTACAAGTCCTTGGTGCAGATCCACGAAAAAAACGGTGAGGCTGGGGCCCCCAGGCCCTGCTCTAGTCAAGTACAGGAGCCTTTTTGGTTTCTGAGCCTTACTATCCACTGGTCCATCGTCTGCACAGTTCTCCAGAGGTCTGGAGTACTGTCACCCTTCTTCCCAAGAAGTAACCAGCAGTGGGGTTGAAGGTAGCCTGGGCACTGTCCTCTGCTGTCACTCTCTGCAAAGCTCATCCAGTTCCTGTCCTGGGTGGGCTCACCATTCTCCCTCCCTTATAATATCCTCTGGGTAAGCGGCCTCGGCTCCCCAACACAGTGTTCCTAGGATCTCTTTTCCTAGAATGTGGAGGTGTCCTCGGGGATTGGGATAGATAGGTGAAGTTGGCCTGGGCCTGCCCCTCACTGTGCTGGTTTGTGTTTTGTTTGTTTTCTTGTGCAGGCTGGTACACACCCCCGAAGGAAGATGGCTAACCCTGGAGTATCATCCCCTTCCTCCTCCCCAGGCACCACTGGACCAATTACCTTTGAATGCTGTATTTGGATCTCACGCTGCCTCTGGTTTCCCCCCCTCATTTTTCCTGGACGTGATAGCTCTGCCTATTGCAGGACAATGATGGCTATTCTAAACGCTAAGGAAAAACAACAACCCACAACACACACTGAACTGTCTCAAGTACTCAAGACTGACTACAGACCAACCACCTCGCTGGAACCCTTGCTAGCAGGCATTCTTATAAAGAAACTCTCAAGCCTCCTTATATTGCTGGAAACTCAGCTGTGCTCCAGACTAGAGCCTCCTTACCTATGCTATGGGTTTTTAATTTATTTTCTCTTATTTCATGTACACTGCTTTTTTTGGTTACAGTGTATGATGGATGTGTATGAAAAAAATGTATCTTTGGGAAAACAATTACAGTTTGTTAATTTGAAGACGCTGGTCTTGACTCATCTTTCTTTTTATTCCCACATCCCCTGACTGCTGGGGGGGGGGGGGGTGCCAGGCCCACCATGCTTTGGTAGCAAGGAGAAGCTGCAGAGAGACTGCAGAGATTTGCTGCTAGTTCAAGAGAAATGCCAAGCTGAAGCCTGCCTGATCTGACCCTAGATTGCTCCTGAAGGCCTCTGGAGCAACTAGCACCTATACTCCTTGGAACAGTCTGGCCTGCTGAACTATGCTGCAGAGGCCCAGAAACATCCTGATTATTCATTAGTACCTCTCTGTACTAATCTCCATTTTTGAAATTTCCAAGAAAAAGATGAGACTTGAGTAGCTGCTTCATAAACTACTTTTAAATTGAGGGGTGGTGCCCTGGCTCCTGGATGCATGAGGTTTTCTCTAATCCCAAGCAACATGCTGAGCGGCTGTATCTCATTGGTTCCCTGCCTTCCTGTCCTCTCTTCTCACTTCTCATCTGCTTTATTAGATTATCTAAGAAAAGACTTGAACTTTGGATTCTTTCTAGCCATTCCCAAGTCGTGGGTCTACTGGGAAACAGTAGCTCAATGTGGTTGCAGTTTGTAGTGGGTCCTTGGCTCAGCCCCAGGAGCTGCACGGCAGGGGAGAAGTCTGCAGAGCCAGAGCTACCTGTGTTGGACCTGCTATAGTGAGACTGCACATAGTTCACGGAGCCTGCATCATCCTGTTTGAGCTTGCTGTGGGACCACCTGCCTGCAGACTGGAGGAAGACTGGAGTGACAGAGGCAAGGGACAGCTAAACAGAGTCCTGGAGCTTAGAAAACCCAACCCTCGGACAGTTGCCTGGATGTTTTCTAATGCTTTTCAGATGGGCATTTTAGTTTGGCTATCTTCCTCCACTCCCCATTTCTTTTAGGGATTTGAATGTCTTGCTGCTTTAGGTGGATGGAGAGTTCACCAGTCCTACTTGATGCTGCTCTAATTCTGCCTACACCCACTAGATTAGGGGTGCTAATACATGGTGAGGTTGAGACACAGAGGATTCAAGGGGAATAAGTCATTCCATAGAACCGAAATCTATCTCATAGCCTGTAAGGCTTCCTTCTGAACTTAACACCAGCCGGGGCTGGCATGTAGATTGTGTTTTTAGTAACGTGTACTGTGAGCTGTCCTCTGTATAATGTATTTTGTAATGTATTTTTCTCATCTACCAAAGGATGAATCAAATAAAGTTATTTAAATAGTTTGGCTCTAATAAACTTATTTAAAGAATTAATGGGTTCATGTCCGCTTGATATGACAGAAAATACCAGGTTCTGGAAACTGTAATGCCAGCTCTTGACAATCCTCCATTTTCCTTCTCAACCCTTTTCTGACAAAATGTTAAGTTGAGGCTTCTCATAAAGTAACATGCATTAAAAAGGACAGATTTCTTCTTTGCAGTAGGGAAAGCAAGGAATTTGTATCTGTGACCCAGGTAATGTTGCCTGGCTTGGCGCCCGCGGCCTAAGATCTGAGTTAAGTGGGAGGAGATACATGGCTGTTTCTCAGTCTCCGTGCCACAGTTTAGAGGGCAGGATAGGGCAGCAAGCAGTAGCCAGGAGAAAGTATCAGAAACCCCAAACATGAGACATGACAATCTTTATTTGCTTAGAGTGATGGCTCACTGTTCTACCTGATTCAACATTGCAATACCAAAAACTTAGGCAACAGCCCTTCCAACCTCCCCAGTCTGCCCTGGCATACAAAAATGAGGAAAATTTGCTTGGCTGCCTCAGGCTACTAACTTAATGGAAGCTTACTATTTTTGGTTCAAATGTTTATGCCAGTTTAGGAGACTAAAGAACCCGACAAAAAAGATTTTACCCTTTGGAAAGGTGAGTAAAGGCAAGACGGAAAGCAACTCAGATTGCTTCACTGATGCTGGAGCCTCAAGATTGAGGCAGCACAGGCAGACAGAGTGAGCTGGAGGCCCAGTGCACCTCAACCAAAGTCTTCAAACTTCTGGGCTCACAGCTAGAAGAGAATAAGTCAGTCAGATGGTGGTGCACCCCCTCAGTCAGTCCCCTAACTCCTGGGCTGTGTTCAGCTCCTAGATTCCAGGAAGACCCACAGAATCCTGGCAGAAGCTGGGAAGACAGTTAGCTCTCTCTCAGAAGCCCCAGTGATTTCCCCTGGGGATTTAATGGACACCTGGTGTGAATTCACAATTTCTGCAAAACAAAACACAGACCTTGGGGCAGGTGGTGGCAGGAGGGAAGCAGAAGGCGGAGGCCACAGGGAGCGGGCTTTGGCGGCAGACCAGCTTCCCAACAAGTCTCTGCTAGCTTCTGTTAACTTCCAGCTCCGGGATGAAGCTGATGAAAGCTGTAGGAGAGGGAAGCAGGGCTGGGGGCAAGATAGGAGCCTGCACAAAAGAGGCAGCCCTGGTCCTGCTGGTCAGGCAATCACAGGTCTCTAATGAGAAAGTCTACTGAAAGACAATGGGGAACCAGACAAAAAGTCACCTTTCTCCAGAACTCAGCTCTGCCCTCCCACCTCCAAACTCTGGGCTTTTAGTATGGGGTGAGACCGGTTCTGATTAGGGCACGAGGAGTCCCTCCCCCGGGATGCCATTTCTATGCTATGAAATACCAGGAAGGCCCTTTCACTTTCACCCACAACAGGAGGAAAGTGATCCTCTGAGGTGGCTTTCTCAGAGTCGACTGAAGACACAACTGGGCTGGGCACTCCGGCTCTCCTGGCAGCTGTTCTTTGGATCAGGAGACTCCTTTCTGGGCCACCTTCCAAAATCCAGAAGCAGAAGGTCAAAAGACCTCCCCAAGCATGGCAGTAGGCTCTTTTCATGCAATGACCCATGATGCCCTCTGGGTGGAGCTCCCTGACCACTGGGCACAAGGCCGCCAGCCTCCCAGGTAGCCTGAGCCCAGAGCTTCGTTTTTCTCCAGCTGGGGGGTGGACTGTGTCTTAGTTCTCCAACGCAATGTTTTACCCTCTGCCTTAACATTGAGAAGGGCCAGGGCAAGGAGAGGGCCTCTGTGTTTCCAGAGTGTGGAAACTAATGTCTTACCATCTGGATCTAAAGAAACAGTGTGACAGTCACCACCTTGCCCCCCACCCCCCATCCAGTGTTTCACTCTCTATTCATTTTCATCTACAGCAAAATCTGCTCCCAGAGAAATTGTAAACAAAACTGGAAGCCTGGAATTGCTGTCCTCTTAGGGGCTCCTCCTAGTGGAAGCAGAGATGGGAAGTCTCCCTTAGCTACTTAAGAACTAAGCAGCAGTGATGATCCTCAGGGACACTGAGGCTCCGGGAACAGACGTGAAAAGCTATTATTCAAGCAAGCACTCCACTGGCATGGCAGCTGCTAAGGTGAGGAGAGGGCAGAGCCAGAGGCTGAAGGAAGCAGGCCAGGCCAGGTCCTGAGATGTAGGCACCTCCTGTTCTCTCCTCAGGAGAGGATGGAAGACAAATGCCCGTCCTCCGACATGAATGGCTGAGATGGGATGGTCCAGAGGTCAGTCATCATTGTCTAGGCTGCATAGGGTCTGCACAGGGATGGTGGTCAATTGCCCAGTAAAGATGACCACAGCCCAGCACTTGGCCAACAGGAAGGAAGAAGAGAGACACTTGGTCCTAGGCACAACGACCCTCATTAAAGGGATGGAAATTTACAGAACATGACGCTGTTGTTCCCAATATCACCCCTCAGCCAGGCACATCACTGAGATACAAATGGGTTGGTGGCCCCCTTAGGCTCTGGTGTCTTCTTCCTGGAGAAGAAAATGATATCCAGTCAGTGGTGAAGATCCAGAACCACCATTGTGTGGTCCCTGGTTTGAGTCTTGTCTTCTGCAGGGGAGCTTTGGGTATTCTTGGGGAAGATTAGTAGGGCTATCTGGATTCACAAATAAGAGACAGACAGACAGACATGCACATGCACACACACGAGCACACACATTAATATGCTTTGACTAGCTTAGTGGCTGGGCGTTTCTGATCCTTCCTGCTGCTAGCAAACACTCATCTGGTACTCCTGAGGTAACATCTTTTTAAATCTATGTTTCATCTCTGCTACCCCAGGCCCAGTTGGGGAAGTGGCCTGTGTGGCCACGTTCCCTGATTCTCACACGTCGTCGGTAGGCCTTTAGGTCTGGTCTTTGTTCTTCCCAGTCATGGTGATCTCTGCTTCCTCTCTCCCAGTTCCTAGCCCACACCAACCTCAAAGTGTCACCTCAGTCTACCTGCCTAGTCACTGGCAATTGGCTCTTTATTAACTGATCAAAAACCAATTGGAGACCTTCAGTGTTTGGACAAGCAGATGCCTGATTTAGGGGTGGGGGCAGGTTAATTTAAAGCATTAGAACCAATCCCCAACAGTCTGCCAGAACATGCCGGTTCTATTCAGCACCTTGGCTGAGGCTGAGGATCTGTGACAGTTCCTGGGTGGCTCAGTCCTACAGCTTGGGGCTTCTGCCTGGCAGAGCTCCACCTGGGGAACTACATGTGTGCCCCAAAAGATGAGGGCAATGTGGGTGTGGGGGAGTCAAAGCTGGTAAGAAAGTCATCCCTTTCCTTCCTTGCTTCTTTGGACTCCACAGACACCCCGGAAGCTAGCCAGTTCCGGTCCCTTAGAAGTAGCCTCAAGAAGGAGCCCAGAGCCAAGAGAGTTCAGGAGGTAAGTTTTGGGCAAAGGAGGTGGGTGGCTGTGGTTCGCTGCCCCAGGCAGTGGGGTTATGCCAACCTCTTCAGGGTTTGGGCCAAGACAGAAACCCAAGAAACACAATGCATGGCAGAAGAAAGGAGGCCTAGGGCCAGGGAGAAACCCTGAGGAGAACTCAGCAAACAGGTACACCATGCCTCTTTAAGGAAGTTCTCCCTAGGTGAATTTTGAGCCGGCTACAATGACTGAGCCTTTCGAAATGACTCCATTGTGAGTTGTAGGTAACACAGGATGCTTACGCTTAAGGTCCTAGACAGGCAAACCTGCGTCTTCAAAGACAAAACCAAAACACTG